CCTTTTACATTCAGAACTTGACTCACTGATACAAGAGGCCTATTAGCTTTTGGCCTTTTTTGGCTTTTGACATGCCTTCCTCACCAAGCTTAATCATTTCTAGTTTTTGATTTAAAGTGAGAGAGTTTCACCTGAACACTTAGAAACCATAGTAGGGTTATTACATGGCATAATTTCAGTATTGTTGTGTCTCAGGGAATAAGGAGGCCCGAGGAGGGGAAGAGAGATGGGGGAACAGCCAGTTGGTGGAGCAGTCAGAACACACACAGCACTTACCGATTAAGTTTCCCATCTTATGTGGGCATGGTTTGTGGTTCCCCAAAACAATTACAACAGTAAGGTCAAAGATCACTGATCACCATAACAGACGTAATAATAATGAAAAAGTTTGAAATATTGTGAGAATTGCCACATGTGACACAGAGACAGGAGGTGAGCAAATGCTGTTGGAAAAATGGCACCAATGAACTTGCTCAGTGCAGGGTTCTCACAAACCTTCAATCTGTAAAAAATGCAATATCTGTGAAGCACAATAAAACGAGGTATGCCTGTACATAGTAAATGAGCAATAATGGGTAGCTATCATTATTATTTAATCAACCATTCCACTTATTTATACAGTAAAAATTTATTACATGGTTATTATGTGTCAGGGCCTGCCAGGCTTCCTACCAGGGTTCTCAGTACCTTGAACTTGGAGTCCCATGATTTCCACTTATGTATGAGACACTTAGTCGTAATAGTCGTAATGATAGCTGTAATGTCCTGAGTTCCTAATTATGTGTCAGGCATTCTGCTAGGTGCTTTATTACTGTATTGCCTTTAATCTTTATCCCCATTTTATAGAAGCAGGAATAGAGATGTAGAGTCTATGAAACTTACCCAGGGTTACATAGAAAATGTCAAGCCTGGGATTTAGATTGTCTGCTCTTTTTTTTTTTTTTCTTCTTTCTGTTCTGCACTGACTGTTGTTACTGTCACCCTAAATCCATTATGTCCCAGACTGAAGTTGGTTTCCTCAAATGGGCTTTGTCTTTCAACTTCTCAGTCAGGGGCACTACCATTCTACTTGTCACCCATGTCTGAAAGGCGGGAGATGTCTCCCTTCTCCATCAAGCCCCTATATCTGGTTAATCACTAGGATTTTAGTTCAAATGCATCTTTTTCTCCCTCTTTCTGTTATCCTGGCTGGGCCCCTCTTGACTTGGATTTGTTAGTTTTCAGCATTTGTTCCACTGCCCCCCATGAAAGGGGAGGTTTACACAATACACTTTCATGGACTCCACCAGATTTTGATAACACACCCTTAAGTTTTCCAAGAAGTAAAGCATAATAGTTTATTACTGCTGCAGCTGTTTGTCAGCGGTAGAAGCTTGGAATGGGCTCACAGCAGTGGTACAGATAAGTAAGCTGCTGTGAATGTAACCTTTCTCTCCTACCCAGGAAAACATGTTTGGAGAGAACTATGCTCCACTCTGTTTCAAAAAGTAAAGCTTTCGCCTTTAACAAACAGTACTGGGAAAAGTGGATATCCACATGCAAAAGGATGGCGTTGGACCCCTATCTCATACGATATACAAAAATTAACGAAGAATGGATCAACAACCTAAATATAAGAGCTGAAACCGTAATACTCCTAGAAGAAAACGTAGGGGCCAATCTTCATGAACTTGAATTTGACAGCTCTTTGGTGTTACATCAGAAGTACTGTATGAGCAACAAAAGGAAAAATAGATAACGTGGACTTCAACTAAATTGAAAACTTTTGTACGTCAAAGGGCATTATCAAGTAAGTAAGAAGACAGCCTACAGAGAGGGAAAAATATTTGCAAATCACATATTTGATAAGGGTCTAGTATCCAGCGTATATAAAGAACTCATAACTCAACAACAAAACAACAGACATTTCTTCAGAGAAGACATACAAATGGCCAAAAAGCACATGAAAAGGTGCTCAACGTCGTCAGTCATTAGGGAAATGCAAATCAAAACCACAGTGAGATACCACTTCACATCCACTAGAATGGCTATAATAAGAAAAAGGAAAAGGAAAATGACAAGTATGGCGAGGATGTGGAAAAATTGGAACCTTCATACATTGCTCATGGGAACGTAAAATGGTTCAGCTGCTGTGGAAAATAGTTTTCTGATTCCTCAAAAGGTTCAACATAGAACTACCATATAAACTAGTAATTCCACTCCTCAAGAATTGAAAACAGGTACTCAAACGAGTATACGTGTACATGTGTTCATAGCAGGTTCACAGTAATCAACAGATGGAAACAACCCAAATGTCTGTCAATGGACAGAAGGAGAAACAAATAGTGGTATATACATATGATTGAATATTATGCAGTCAGAAAAAGGAGTAAAGTGCTGGTATGAGCAACAATGTGGATGAACCTTGGAAACATGATGCTAAGTGAAATAACCAGATGTGTCACATATTGTATGATTCCATTTATATGAAATATGCAGAATAGGTAAATCGATAGAGATAGGAAGCAGGTTGGTGGTTGCCAGAGGCTGGGAAGAGGGGAGAATAGGGAACAATGCTTAATGGGTATGGAATTTTCTTTTTGGGGATGATGAAAATGTTTTGGCACTAGGTAGAGGGGATGGTTTTACGACGTTGTGAATGTACTAAATGCTACTGAATTGTTCACTTTAAAATGGTTAATTTCATGTTATGTGAATTTCATCTCAATTTTTAAAATCTCCAAAAAACAAAAAGTAAAGCTTTCACAAACCTTGTTGCTTTAATTGTTAATAGTAATGCATACTTGGTAGATATCAGTATTTCAGGACATTGTTCTTGAGAATCATTGGCTGTAACCATCTGCCAGAATTACTAGGTCTGCCAGGATTATAGCCCGCTCTCCTTTGCTGGGGGCAGGACCCCTAGGCCAGGGCTTTCTAACTCAGATGCCTTCAGGGGCATTTATCCTGTTGGGATAAATGTTTGAGGTCAGCTGGATGTAAGGCATCAGGAAGTCATGGAGATTAGGTGGAACTGGGCTGGACATGCACTGTCTAAATGCATTCCAGTTTAGACAAACTGCCCCTGGGCTGGTTCTTGTCTTCATCTTTCGGCCATCCCTCTTAAGCCATCTGACAGACTGATGTATTTTAAAAATCATCTTCAGCATGCCATCCCATTTGTAAAAACCAGTTTCCTGTCACAGAATCTAAACCTCTCTGCCTTCCCTTTCCCGCAGAGGCTCTGAGAAAGCTCAGCTGGACCCATACAGCATCGTGAAACTGTTACCCTCCTCCTACCTCACCCTGTCCCAGCCACCTGGAGGCCTCGGGTGACAGGACTGAACCCCATTAGATCTGTAAGGGGAAAGGCTCTCTCTGAGTCCTCCGTTTAAGGGCGACTCAGGGAAATGCTCAGCAGCTGGTTGCCGCCACTGCAGAGGGCATGGTGGGTTTCTGTGGTGCCACTTCCCCAGCAGTCTGAGTGCATGTCAGTCTGTTATCTGTCTACCCGCAGAGAAGGGGAGAGAGGCACAGAAGAATCTGGAAAGATTTTTGTGATTAGATGAGATGTAGGAAGTTGGTTTTTGTTTGTTCGTTTTCATCTGCCCAAGCTCTTAGAGGCTTGGGCCCATCAGGATGCTGGAAGCTTGGAGTGGGCGGGGTGTGTCAGGGGAGCAGGGGAGAGGGTGTGGAAGGAGGAGGCTTAGTCCATTAGATCTAGGGAGTGGCTGGCACTGACTTCTTTTATGCTTCCAGCCCTATAGCTGCTTGTAATCCCTCTTTACTGCTGATTTTCTGGGAAGCATGTAGGACGTAGAGATCTTTGGCCCACGTCCTTTCATTATGTAACACTTCAGTGGATGTGTGCCGGGGCGGGGTTTGGGACTTGAGGGACTCCCTGCGGCTCTTGCCCTAAAATCCAGCCCCCTTACCCCACTCTCCCCATTTAGACTTGAACGGCAGAGAGAATCTTCCTTCCTTCCCTGAAATCCCGTGTACAGAGCTCTGAACTCCCGGTGGCTCAGCGTCTGGCCCACAGAGGTGGTGCTGACCCAGGGCCCTTGGAACCGTCCCACCTGTGGAAATGGAGGCTCGGCTTCCTCATATCCCAGGAGCTCGCTAGCTGCCGACTCAGGCAGAGTTCCTGGCCTTTGCTTACAGCACTTTAGTCAATGGGTGTTTTTGCTGTTTTGGGGGAGATTGGCTCCCCACAAGGGCATGCCTCTCGCTGGAGCCGTCATGTGGGTGAGCATCAGCGTGTGTGCCCTCTGACCTCCAACCTGTCAGCCACTCCCCAGTGGGTGCTGGTGAGTTCCTGGATTAAGGGAAAATCTCTGCCCAAATGACATGCTTTTTTTTCTTTAATTTTTATTTTATATTGGAGTATAGTTGGTTAACAATGTTGTACACCTGAAACTAAGACATGCTTTCTTAAGACTTTAAATAAAGTAACGTGGAGAGGTTCATGGAAACTCTTGAGGCACTGTCGGAAACCTTAAAAGCCCAGCACGCACCTCCACTCCTGGTGCTGTGAGAGTGCTTAAAGCCCAGCGGTGGCCTGGAAGTCAGGAAGGCTGGGTAGCCGCTCCTCAGAAGGGTAGGCTGTGACCCCACAGCTCTTCTTTCATAGGGTGTGAGTGGGCCGTATGGTGTCATGGCAACAGGGAAGGCTCTCCAGCCAGGCTGCCAGGGTTTCAGTCCTGGCTTATTAGTTGAGTGGCCTTGGAAGATTTATTTAGTGGTGCTGTATCTCAGTTTCCTCATCTGTATGTAGAGCAGCGATGGCAATACCTCATAAGGTTGTTGTGAGGGTTGAAGATAACACCTGTAAAATACTTGGCACCAAAATGGATGCATCCTAGGTGTTTAAAGATGGTGGCTCCCACCGTCCACCCATGGTAGCCACATGATGGAGCCTGCAGGAGAGGACAAGAGGATGGTGGGAGGGCTCTGTATTCTGTGGTTTCCCTGTGATTAACGCAGACTCTGGTTTCTTCTGTATTCCTTTCCTTGCCCAGTACTGATCCTGCAGAAGGTGGAGAACGGAGACCTGAGCAAAAAGGTTCTGAAGATCACCGATTTTGGCCTGGCTCGGGAATGGCACCGAACCACCAAGATGAGCGCAGCAGGGACGTATGCCTGGATGGCACCTGAAGTCATTCGTGCCTCCATGTTTTCCAAAGGCAGCGACGTGTGGAGGTAAGGTCCAGAGGTGCAGGGTCAGCGCTCCCCAGATCTATTTTGGCTGCACAGATGCTTCAGGACTTGGAGAATTGAGGTTGCATAGGATCCCAGGCACCCCAGGTAGGTCTAGGTGACCCCTTCAGAGCAATCCACACTAAATCCCACATTGCCAAAGGACAGTTTCTAACACCTTCATCTGCCAGAAATCCCCCCAGTGCTATGGGGCAAGTACCACCTCTATGTAGGCCCCTTTGTGTTGGTGATTGCTCCCTAGGAAGGACCAGGAGATGCCAGGGGCAGTGTGTACTGACCTCCAGGGTGGTGAGGGTACCCAGACACTCCTGGAGACCTTCCCCACAGTCCCACTGGCTTCCTTAGCAACAGTGGCTGTTACTGTTGGACTTGTTCTCACTATAAGCCCTTCAGCTGATGAGTATTGTTTGTGCTGTCTCTCTTTTCTGGGTGGGCTGGAAATTATCCTTTCCAGTTATCCAGTTAAGCTTTTAGTCAAGGCTCTGTCTTGCCTGTTGAGCATTGATATAGAAATGGGAAAAGATAGGTCTCAAGCATGCACCCAGAACTGCAGCGTCAAAGATTAGACCAACCGTTCCCCTTAGTTAATGTCAGCCCAAGAGGTCACAAGGACATGTTGGATCTAAAAATCTTTCTCCCACTGATGGGAGGATGAGCATCTACAGAGTAAGCATCCTCATGACTGTGAGACAGTAGCATCACCTTGGTAGGCAAAAGAAAGGACTGTAGATTATCATTGTATTTCATCTATGAAGTTGTTGCTTCTTAGGGTGTTGTAAAGTGAGCTTGTGTGTGTGTATATATTTTATTTATTTATTTATTTATTTATTTATTTATTTATTTATTTTCTTTTTTTTGCGGTACGCGGGCCTCTCACTGTTGTGGCCTCTCCCGTTGCGGAGCACAGGCTCCGGACGCGCAGGCTCAGCGGCCATGGCTCACGGGCCCAGCCGCTCCGCGGCATGTGGGATCTTCCCAGACCGGGGCACAAACCCGTGTCCCCTGCATCGGCAGGCGGACTCTCAACCACTGCACCACCAGGGAAGCCCCATGTGTGTGTATATTTTAAATAACAGCTTTATTTAGGTATTACTCACATACTGTAAAGTGCACTTTTTAAAATGTATAAGCCAGTGGTTTTTAGTAAATTTACAGTGTTTTACATTGATCATCATTGTCATTAGTTTCCTAAGGCTGCTGTAACAAATTACCACAAACCTGGTGGCCTAAAGCAATACAAATTTACAGTCTAGAGGCCAGAAGTCTGAAATCGGTATCAGCAGGGCCATACTCTTTCCAGAGACTCTGGGGCAGATTCTGTTCCAAATAAGGATTCTGGGTATTAGGACATGGACATATCTTTTCAGGGCCACCATTTAACCCATGACAACCACTAACTATTTCCAGAATATTTTTTATCACTCAAAAAATCCCTCAATACCTATTAGTAGTCATTCCCTAATACCCCCTACCCCTACCCCTACACCCTGGCAACCACTAATTTACTTTCTGTCGCTATGGATTTGCCTCTTCTGGACATTTCATATAAATGGAATCATACAGTATGTGATCTTCTGTGACTGGCTTTTTTCATTTGCATAATGTTTTCAGGGTTCATATATGTTTTTCAGAACTTCATTCTTTTAATAGCTGAATCATATTCCATCATATGGGTGTACCACAATTTGTCTGTTCTTTAGTTGATGGACATTTGGGTTGTTTCACTTTTTATCTAATGTAAATAATGCTGCTATGGACATTTGTTTACATGCTTTTGTGTGAACATATGTTTTCAGTTCTCTTGGGTGGTATATACCTAGGAGTGAAATTTTCTGATTCATATGGTAATTCTATATTTAACTTTTTCAGGAACTGCCAGACAGTTTTTTACCATGGCCATTACCATTAGCAACGCATGAGCGTTCCAATTTCTCCACATCCTCTCAACACTTGTTATTTTTTATTATAGCCATCCTAGTGGATGTGACATGGTATCTCACTGTGGTTTTGATTTGTGTTTCCCTAATGACATCGAGCATCTTTCCATGTGCTTATTGGCCATTTGTATATCTTCTCTGAATAAATATCTGTTCAAATCCTTTGCCAATTTTAAAATTGGGTTATATGTCCTTCCATTTTTATGTTGAAAGTGTTCTTTATACATTCCAGATACAAGTCCCTTATCAGATACATGATTTGCAAATAATTTCTCCCATTCCGTGGGTTTTCTTTCACTTTCTTGATGGTATCCTTTGAAACACAAGCATTTTTAATTTTGACAACGTTTGTTTTATCAGTTTTTTCTTTGATTGCTTGTGCTTTTGGTGTCATATCTAAGAAACGAAGTCATGAAGTTTTATACGTATATTTTCTTCTAAGAGTTTTGTAATTTTAGCTCTTACATATAGGTCCATTTTGTTCTGTTTTGTTCCATTTTGACCTAATTTTTGTATGTGGTGTGAGGTAGGAGTCCGGCTTCATTCTTTTACATGTGGCTATCTAGTTGTCCTAGCACCATTTGTTTAAAAGACTGTTTCTTTCCTCATTGAATTGTCTTGGCATCCCTGTCAAGAAGCAGTTCACCACAAATGAAAGAGTTTACTTTTGGACTCTCAATTCTACTCCATTGATCTATGTGTCTCCCGTTATGCCAGTGCCACCTGTTTTAAGAACTGTAGCTTTGTACTAAGTTTTGAAATTAGCAAGTGTGAGTCTTCCAACTTTCTTCTTTTTCAAGATTATTTTGGCTATTCCGAATCTCTTCAGTTTCCATACGAATTTTAGGATCATTTTGTCAGTTTCTGAGAATAAGGCAGCTAGGATTTTGATAGTAAGGATTATATTAAGTCTGTAGATCACTTTGCGGAGTATTGCCGTCTAAATAATATTGTCTTTCAATCCATGAACATGGGATATCTTCCTATTTATTTAGACCTTCTTTAATTTCTTTCAGTGATGTTTTATAGCTTCTGTATATTGAATCTTATTTCACTACACATTAATTATGGGTGAAGTACCTATTGTGAAGAAAAGAGTTTTCCTTTCCTTAAAATATCTGACTAGATCTCATTAGGTTGAGCTGTATCCTGATATTCAACTGTTTTTCACCCACAAAAGCAGCAATTTCGTATGCTTCAACCTACACTTTCATTGCTTGACTGTAGGCTAATGAGATTAGTTAATGTATTAATTAAGCTAAGCTGCTATTGCAAAGAGACCTACTGATGGTAGAAATGTACTTCTTTTTCAAGAGTAGTCCAGCCTGTCTAGGCTGGTGGGGCAGCTTTGCACCTTGAGATCATTCAGGAACTCAGGTCCTTTCAGCATCCCTCGGCGTGTTATTCTTTTCTGAATGGTTACATCTGAGTGAAAGTGACTTCAGAATAATTATATCCCACGGAAAAGGGGAAAGAGAGCTTATCCATGGCAAGAAGCTTGTCTTTAATTTGGAGATGACTCCAAAAGTAGCTATTATTATTTCCGTTTTACAGATGAGGTAACCAAGGCTTAGATGATTGAAATCAGTTGCCTAGGTTCACCCAGATGGTAGAGGTAAAGCTGTGATTTGAACTAGATATGTGTCTCTTGAAATTCTGTGCTTTTAGCCACGTCATCATCTATATACTCTTACTCCTGAGCTTTGGGCACCCTCTTCCAGGGTGATTGGCCCACCATGCCTGGGACCCAGCAGCCTGTCTCAAGAGGGCCAAAGCATGTCTAGGAACTCGGGACAGAGCTGGTTCCCAGACTGACTTGTAATGCATTTATTCCTCCAAGAAATGTTTGTTGAATACATACTTACTCTGTTATGACCAAGCAAGTGGACTTGCTTCCCGCTGTACGATGGAAAGACCAAACACCGAGGCAACGGTCTTTTGCAGAGAGAAAAAGGATTTATTGCAGGGTGGCCAAGCAAGGAGGCAGGAGGCAATGCTCAGATATGTCTCCCCAGTTGACCAGCTGTTGAGCGGGATGTTTATCATGGAAGTAGGGAATAAGAGGCGGGAGTGGGGGGGTGCTGGGAAATGGTCGGTGGAAAGTAATTTGTATGTTTCTGGAGTTCTCTGCCTAGGTTCGACTGTTCTTCATGCCTCTTCATGGGTTGCGTGTGCAAATTCAGGGGGGTTTCCTATGTTACATGGGGTGGATTTTCAGCCTGTGATGTCTAAAGTTCACTATCAGAGTTCACTATTGGTTGTCCTAGTCCCTCAGTGAGCCTGAAGGGGCTGTCAGCAGGTTGTTTGCATATCTGTGGTTTCCCTGGTATTCTGTAAAACAAGCTTGGTGTCTTCCATGTATCATTTTATTTCTATCTTGTTTCTACCTTATGGGCCTTGAGTGTGTAAGGTAAGGGTATGGCTCCAGTGTCAGGTACGGGGCTGAGCCTGAATCCAACCCCCTTCCCTCCCACTCCCCTCCTGGATCTCATGCAGGGCCTTGGGCCTCTGCAGTTGGTGGGTGCCCAGGGCCCGCTGAGTTTGTCTCACTGTTCTTCGAGTATAGTTCTCTAGGCCTCCTCTGTGCTGTGGTGGAGCGTAGGATAAGAATGGCCCAGACCCCCTCAAGAAGAGCAGTTCTTGCCCTTTGGTTGTGTTGTGCAGGGAGGGCACTGGTGACAGCCAGAGGCCATCGTCCCACGGTGACTCTGCCTGTCGTGTGTAGGATGAGATGGAGGCATTTTGTTCATTAATCATCTTACGTTTTTTAAATTACAGAAGGAAAACATGTTCACTATAGAAAAAAATTAGAAAATATGGATAAACAAAAAAAGAAAAAGAAAAGGAAAGAAAAGAAAAAATCACCCACAACGCACTTCTAAAGATAATCTATGTTGACATTTTGGTGTGTTTATTCCTGTTCCTGTGATCACCCACCCATCCCTTAAAATGGGATCATTCTGTTTTGTAAGCTGCTTTTTGAATGTAACAGAGCATGAACATATTGCCATGTTAATAAGTATTTATTATGTCAATAAATATATTAACATATACATTTATACATAAGTTAGTAAATATGTTGTCATTTTGAATGAGGGTCTGGTTAACAGCAAGAATAGTAAATTGTGTGTTACCTAACAGTTTACAAAGTACCTTCACATATGGTAGTTCAGTTGTCTTTGCCAAAGATTATTAAACAGTCAGCTTGGTTCCTGGGATGTGGGCTCACAGCTGATGACCAAGTGCAGGAGCCCATTCAAGGGACACCCTCTCCTTTTGGAGGGTGGGTCCCTGAGTTAACAGTCTTAAAGTCCATGCAGGTTAATAAGAAAAACAGCCCTGGCCCAGCACAGGTAGAGAATTGCTGCACCTTCGGTTGGGAAGGGTTGCTATTCACTCTAGGGCTCCTCTTCCTTTTGAAAAAAATAAAACATCCCTGACCCACATCTGATATTATCGAACAGTGGAAAAGATTACTGCACCTCTGGAGGTGGTTAATTATTGACACAGGGTGCATTTCTGAGGGTTTGGGTTTAGGCTATGCCTCTTGGGAAATCATTGGAAGCACTGTGGGATCTGGCACTTCTCTGGGGGGAAGGGACTCCGAAGCAGAGTTCTAGCTGAGCTGGTACTTCGAGGCTGCTTGTAAACAGTCTTGAACAGACCTCTTGACCTTCTCTTAACCCTGGGAGGGCAAGAAAGTAGGCTAAACCTGAGGTAAATCATGTGGACTTCTCCTGCCCACCTCTCCCTGAGGCTCAGATCCATCTAATGTGTGTTTCTCCAGTCCCCTTTTTGGACTCTGTTCCTGCCAGAGGAGCACCAAGCCTTCATTTACATCACCCACCTTCTGTTATAAAAATACAGAGGAACGCTGGCAGAGGAACACTTTGACTGGTTTAGTCATCCCCAGAAAGCCTTCTTCCCTGAATGCTGGTACCCCTCGGCACGGCTCTCCCCAGCCACTTTCTCATTTCAGGCCTTTCCGAGAGGGAAGCACACGGTGTTTACGAACCATAGATGGCGGTTTCAGGATGCGGGGTAGTTATTGTTATTCTTACCTTGCAGCTCTTCTATGAGGTAGGGATTGCTGTCTCTGTTACACAGATGAGGAAACAGGTTTGGAGAGGTGAACTTGCTTTCTTAAGGTCCCACGGCTGTAAGTGGTAAAGCAGGCATTCGACTCAAGTCTGTCTAAGTCTCTCCTGAGCAGCACTTCTCCCACTTTTCCTAGTTGTAGAGCCCTTCAAATGGAACGGAATGCCCATAAACAAAGGACCAAGCCAGGTGAGAGCAGAGCTGCCCTTGTGGAAGCTGGGAGGGGAGGGTCCCTGGCTCCTTTCCCTTTCCCTTCCAGGTGGCCTGAGACATCTCCACGGAGTAGAGCTCAGTGTAAACACCATCACAGAGGAAACGCCAGGACACAAACAGGACACGTGTTTGGATCTTTGAAAACACCCTGTCTTTCCAGGTGGTTAGGCTTGGGACATTGATTGTCTTTGCCTGGATGGAAGAAAGGGATTTTGGGAACCTTGAGTTTTTGTTCCTCAGGGTGGAAGTGGGCAGTAATGCCGAGAGCAGGCAACTGAAGATGGGAGTCTCTGTAACCGGGAATCTAGTTAGCAACGCTGAGAGCTCGTAGAGGTCACTTGGTGGACGCTGCCCAGCATGACTGCTGTCTGGGTAAGTCACATGAAAGGTTTTGCAGGAAGTGTCCTAGTATAGTTCTTGATGATATTTGGGGCTTACTCTGGGGCACCCAGTGCAGCCTGAAGGACCATCTGACTACACACTCACTCTTACACCCACCCACCAATTCATTCATTATGTGAGGGCCTAGGCATCCCAGAGCCTGGGAATGCAAAGATTAGGAACTACTGTCCCTACCCTTTAGGAGCCCACAGGCTGGTAAACAGACAACTAGAATACCTGACAGTGCAAACAAGGGCTGAGTAACATGCTGTGGTGTCAGGAAGCTTCCTAAAGTGTCCAGTTGTTCCCATCAGCCTCAGACTAAGATCCACCTTCTTGTCAGGACAAGACAAGACCTGCAACTACCAGTCTACTAGGCTTTTTTTTTTTTTTTCCCTGTCAAAATACATAAAGAAAATGATAGTATTTGGAGGGCTCACTCGGGGAAAGCCATTGTCCAAGGACACTGGCCAGTCCACTCTGAGGGTCCCTCTGTAGAGACCCCCGGGATGCCCTGGCATATTGGTGGGCACATTGCTTTCCTTTGGAGCCATGCCAGGCCATGCCATGGGATCCTTTGAGGGCAAGTCCATGCTGTTGTGCTCTCTGATCCCTGTCTCTGGAGCCCTGGCTCCTCCCTCAATTAGCAAAGTTTCACTTAGGGTTCAGCTACCTCCTGCCTCCGTCCTGGTCTGGTGTAGGTGACCCTCCTTTGTGCTATCATAGTATCTCTGTTGTGACTCCTCTTTCCATATTCTAATTGATGCTTTTTCTATTCCTCTTGGTAGTCTCTTTGTGGATAAGATCTGTGTTTTTTTTATCCTGTATCCCAGTTCTTGGCATTGAGTTTGATGCCTAGTAAATATTTAGTAGATGTTTAAAATGAATGAATAAATGGTGGGGTATTTGAATCGTATCTTGAAAGATGATTAGTAGAGTTTACCAAGCGGAGAACTGGTCGAAGGGCATTCTAGGGAGAAAGAATTGAGAACTGGTCCAGGTCCACCGTGACTTACTCCACATATGCCCTTAATATATGCTGCTAACCCTATCTAAAGCTTGCTTTCCTCATCTGCAAAATGATGATAATACTTATCTTGCAGGTTTGTTGTAGGGATTCAGGATCATGTTTGTAAATGTCTTAGCATGCTGCACATACAAGGTACCATGATCAAATAGTTGCTGGGTTTTTTTTTTTTTTTTTTAAATAAATATGTCTTCTTGTTGGTTGTAAACTACTGATGAGTATTACCAAAAAATTGAGCTCTGTGTTGAAAATATAAGGAGAGGCCCTCTTCCAACTGTTCATGGCCTTATGGTTTCTGGTCCTGACTTATTCCTGGAAGGATTAAACACTACATGAGTTTGCCTGGTTCTGATTGTGAATTCATAGAATAATTATTCCGTAAGCTTTGTGCTCCCCATTCCCTAACTCACAGAACGTGTGAAAAGAAATTCTTCACGTGGACTTGAAAGGAAGGGAAAGAACTCGAAGCCCTCACAGCTGATGCGCTGCTCTGCTCTACCGATGCAGTCCACCCTTGTGAAACTTTCACCTTTGAATTAGACAGAGGTCACCGTTAAGGATGCACTCAGGCTGACGGGGGCAGGAATCTATTCAACCTAGTGGGCACTGAAAGAAATCTTTCACAGGAGCAAAATATGTTTGTTTCGGGTGGTCATCTCTCTGCTTTTATAAAGCTAAAGAAAAATGTATCTGTTGCTATATGATCCAGCGATCCCACTTCTGGGCATATATCCATACAAAATTATGACTCGAAAAGATGCATGTACCCCTATGTTCATAGCAGCACTGTTTACAATAGCCAAGACATGGAAACAACCCATGTGCCCATCAACAGATGATTGGTTTAAGAGGATGTGGTATATACACACAATGGAATGTTACTCAGCCATTAAAAAGAATGAAATAATGCCATTTGCAGCAACATGGATGGACCCAGAGATTATCATACTAAGTGAAGTAAGTCAGAAAGAGAAAGACAAATACCATATGATATCACTTATATGCGGAAACTAAAATACAACACAAATGAACATATCAACGAAAAAAAACAGGCTCATAGACATAGAGAACAGACTTGTGGTTGCCAAGGGGGAGTGGGGGAGGGAGGGAAGGCTTGGGAGTTTGGGATTAGCAGATGCAAACTATTGTATATAGGATGGATGAACAACAAGGTCCTACTGTATAGCACAGGGAACTATATTCAATATCCTGGGATAAACCATAATGGAAAAGAATATGAAAAAGAATATATATATGTATAAGTGAATCATTTTGCTATACAGCAGAAATTAAATTATTTGCACTTCACACGTAAGGAATTTGAGGAAAAAGACCAAGTGTGCTTGACTCCAGAGTTTTTGCTTATAGCCAGTAGGCTTTATGGTCTCCCTTTTATATTATAGCAGTACTTCTGTTTTGTTAGTCTCCCTACATGTCAGAGAGGATGCGGGATGCTCGTCAAAGCCTCGCGAGATACCTGCGTGAAGTTGTACCTATGGTTCATGGTGCAGCTTCTGTCTTCTTCCTCTCCTTAGCTATGGGGTGCTGCTTTGGGAGCTCCTGACCGGTGAGGTGCCCTTCCGAGGAATCGATGGCTTAGCAGTCGCTTATGGAGTGGCCATGAACAAGCTTGCCCTTCCCATTCCTTCTACGTGCCCGGAACCTTTTGCCAAACTCATGGAAGGTGAGTGACCCCTGGCTGGAACAAAACTGGAGACCGTTTATTTTTCTGTCGGCACTCGATAGATTGTGGCCAGTTCTGCAGGATCAGTAACTGAAAGAGGAGGTGAAGTATGAGTCAGTCAAGGAGGAATCCTGAGGATGGTTGGAAGAGCTACTACAAGATGATGTCAGCACCCTGCTACACTGGCGTCACCGATGTCCCTTCTGTCCATCTAGTGACTGTAGAACGTAGCTTAGAAACTGAAGGCTGCTATCCAGTGCTTCAGAATATTATTATTTAATCCACAGTAAGAAGGTACAGCAGCTTTTATCTCAAGACCTCTGAGTGTCTTTCATGTAGAAATGAAGATCTATGAAGAAAGGAATTCTAAAATTCATCTCGGCAAGCCCTGTGATTTTGTCAGTGAGAAATCCTAAGCTGAGAGAGGTTAAATGGATAGGTGGTCACTCCATTGGTTAGTGGCTCAGCTGAGAGTAGATAGAATTCACTTTTCGTGACTCCCATGCTTTTCATCCTTGCCTTCTCATCAGCACGTTGAGTTGGGGAAGGGTAGCTCATTTATTTAGGGGAAATTGGGGCCCAAGGTGTAGTTACCCATTGTCAGGACTGGAATCGTGTAGTAACTTGATAAACTGTGGTAGCTGTATGTAGTTCATGCAAGAAAACGCTTTGGACTTGCCTTACTTATGTGAAATCAATAGTCAGAATGGAATGGGGGCAGAGCTGCTGCATTGGGTTTCCAGCTTCACTGTTGGTGATTGTGATGTTGAGCAGATTGCTTTACTTCCTGAGCCCTGTTTGGGGTTCCCTAAGTCCCAGTCTCTATTTCTGGAAGGAGAAGTGAGAGGTGGTTTTCTGTCAAATGAGGTCACGTAATATCTAAATCTTA